CGTTTGAACAAGGAGCCACTAGGGCATTGTTGAATTCATGGGCTGGCTCACCGTTCTACGACGGGACTATATTGAATTATCCGCTCTCCTTTCATCGCACACGTTACCGATTAATTATGAATTACAGTCAGCTTCGTACTTCTGCCCTTTGATCCCGTCGAAATTGAACGTATTAGCTATCACCGAGCGACTGCTGCAGTCGTTTTTAAAGTGCATAACGATCAAATAATTCGAACTCATTCACCCTCCATAAAATATTTAATTACAAAGTAAGTAACCATTTTATTAATTTAATTTTCACATTGAATTTATCTCTAAAATTATTTTTACCCGCGCGAGAGAACTCGAATTGGCGTTCCTAGTCTACATGTCCATTATTGTCACGTTTATTTCGCCTCGAAAAACGGCTGTTTTTAAACGAGAAAGATAAACGCTACGAGTAACTGTGTCCAGCGTGAATGAAGTAATGGAAAAGGGACGATTTTAAAATAAATGATGGTTAATCAACGGTTGAATTCAATAGGAATGATATTCAACGGTTGCACTGGAACATTTGACCGACCGGGTGGTATGCAACGCGCCCATTAAATCGTGTTTTCGACGTTTACTTAATGTCGCGTTTAATATTTAGTTTTCTATTACGAATCGCGGCCGTCTGGTTCCCACGTTTCCGTTCATTATTTCGAATTGTCGCTCGTTCAAAATGCACGCACCCCCGCGTAATGCATCCACACGTACCTACAGGCCAGTAGAGTTATAGTTAACAGGATAGATATAAAATTATTTATATAAAAAAAGTTTTTAATACACCACGTTTTTAAAACGGACTAAAAAGTATAAAGTAATTATAAAATACTTGTAAGATTTAAAACGAAAAACGTGGACTGCATGCAATAGATAATTAGTTTTTGCTTATTCGTCTTAAATCTTACAGGTATTTTATAATCATTTTATACTTTTTAAAAACGTTTTAAAAACGTGGTATATTAAAATTCTTTTTTATTCAAATAATTATTTTCTGCTTTTCAGTCCGAAGCAAATTAACATTGCATTGTAATCCAGTTCTAATGTATGTTTAAAATTTCAAGTCTCTAGCTCATTGGGAGGGTGCTTTAAAGTCAATTGCAAAATTTATACCGAACAGACAAACAGACAAGCGAGCAAATTAATATTGCATTATCATCTAGTTCCAACCTATGTTTAAAATTTCAAGTTCATCTTGGTCGGCTCTAGCTCATCAGGAAGCTAGTTTAAAATCAATGGCACGTACCGAACAAACAGAAAAGCAAGCGAGCTAATAAAAACGTAGTAAAAACGAATTTGATTCAGACTTGTATTAAATTATTGCATATCAAATTTTTTAAACGCACCTGATGTAATTCTGACAAAGTATCATGTATTTAATTCCTATACTTGATTATAGGTTTCTAAATGATTAAATTATTTCATTATTGCAGATTTATTAAAGATTTGCAAGCTATGAAAGTAAATGTGAACGCTGCGTTTACAATTCTTGTATTTCCGTCGGACAGTTAACGAGTAAAGGTTATAAAAATGCAATTACTGTACTGGCTAATTACGTTCCAGTCTCTTTATTAGAAATCTCTATGACTATACAAGACTGATTTATGATAGTGACGAGTGAGACGAAAATTAAAAAATGTTTTTCGACGTATAAATTCAAGCTTGAAAAGCAATATTATTTATTAAAAGAGTATGGATTATAAAAATGCAATCACTGTACTAGTTAATTGTACTCCAGTCTCTTTATTGTAAACCTTTTTTGCTATATCGACAAATTTATAATAGTGAAGAGTGAGGTAAAAATTAGAAAATGCTTTTCACCTGAAGGAACGAAATCATTTATTAACTTTTGAATACATATTAAAAAATGCAATCACTTTTCTGGTTCATTATATTCCAATCTGTTTATCATAAATCTTTTTAACTACACAAGACAGATTTATGGTAGTGAAGAGCGAGATAAAAATTAAAAAACGTTTTCCAACTTGAAAATCCAAGCTTGGAAAACCGAATGAATTTGGATGTGCGTCAACCCGGAATTTATGAGAAGCATGTCACTAATTTTGTTCCAAAGCCGGGAAACTAGTGGCTAGGAGCGTACGTAAAACAGTGACTGTGTTTCGCATTAAAAATCAATCCACCTGCGCCAGGTGCATTCCAGTTCTCCCGTTGGCTTCTATTTGCGCGCGGCAAATATTATCCCGACTTGGACTCGCGCAATCCCGCGTACGTGGCATAATAAAAAACCAAAATAGAATTTTGCAATCCTCGAGCTGCCCCCTCGGTATTATATCTCGCAGCCGATTTCGGCTACCTCCCACTGTATGCATTTCTATCGTTGTGTTCATAAAGTATTCAAGCCGGAGAATAAAATTTGCACGAGAGGACAGGCGTTCCGTAAAAATCGAGAACTTTTACTCTTTTCTCTAATGCTTGGCCCGCGCAATTTTCCACCGCGAGTTAACGCGCCATCGCCGTCCAAAAATCAAAAATCCTCCAGCATTCTCCAATTCTTCCCGACAATTTCCCCTCGAGCCTGTCTCTCTCCCGGAATGGGGATAGAATAGGATGAAAATCCACGCGGTACAAAATTTTTCAGTTTACCCAAAACGCTTGGGAAAACACAGTAACGGGAATTGAGCGTAACTTCATCAACTAAACTCCGTTTCGCATCCTCCCTCTCTCTTTCTGTCTTACTTTCTCTCTCCTTTCTTTTGCGAAGTCGTTGCACGGGTATAAAGGCAGGGAACGAACCGAGCAGGGGTGGCGGTTTGAAACCAGCCCCGGAGCTTCGTGTTTCGTAAGGGATCGCTTTTAAGACGTCGCATCTTGGAAAATACTATTGTACGCGCGCGGCAAGGACGATATTTTACGTGGTAAGTCTCCTCCAGCTCGTTTATCAGGACAGCCATCCCGGATGAATGACGGGAAGCCGCGGGTGGAAGGGTTCGAACAGGCCGTTGCGGGACCGGGCGGGGGTGGGTGGTTCGGGGGGTTTTCCCTTTGACAAGGGAACACGGCGTGACCGCGTGAAAAACAAATTTAATCGCACCGTCAAAGCTGGGGCTGGCTGCCTTTCATCGACGTTCTTCGCCTCATTTTTTTTTTCCGCCGCGTCGTCGCCGTCTCCTTGGATATTCATGAAACGGCAGAGATCGCGATTGAACCTGGCCACGCGCCTTTAGTTTATATCGCGACAACAAGCTGGTGGAATAAGAACAACGGGCTCGAGCGTCAAAGGAGTTCGTTTCCATTTTTGTGATTCACGTGATTTAGCTACAAAGAGACGTCACAGTTGTTCAAAAGGTTGGGACACGTTTCGCGTTTTATAATTTATTTCTGAGCGAAGGGAGTAAATGCGAAACGTGAAAATTTTTTATTAATTGTTTGGGATCTTAAATGCAAAGAAGATGCAGAATACAGTTGATTTTAAGCGACTCCTTAACGGGCAATAAGACTTTATTAAAAATGAAAAGGAATTAACACGTCTGCCTCTCTTCGAGTCTCGTCGACAACTGCTAGGCTTGACAACAGCAACGACAACTGCCAGTCTCGTTGTCAATTGCCTATCTTCATAAAAGATTGTTTATTTTTTTGGGATTTTGTGTATATTGTTTCTAGTGGAGTGGCTGGTATCGATCAGTATCGAGGACGCTACATTTTCAAAAACTATCGGTCATAGCATGTTTTTTTTTTTTTTTACTCGGAACACGGCAAACACGTGAAATTTTTTTACAAAATATTCGCAGCTTTATACAAGTAATACGCCCCGCTTGTTACCATATTGAAATACACCACGAATTGGCACCGTTCGGTGAAGTCAGCCTCGTGTACTTGTTGTTTTAACAAGCAAAATACAAAGTTAGTTAACGAGACTGTGCGAAATGATTAATTGTTTGTATTTGGTTATTTAAGCTCGCCTCTGTCTGTAAGAGATTGTTAGCGACTACTGAAATTGTGCAGTTTGAGCCAATTCTTGGTCAGCTTCGGCTAATATTGATTTCCCATAAGAGGACAAGATTCAAAAAGAATAATAAGTCTTCTTTTTTCAATGCTCGATGTAGTTTCGATGCTGCGGGATTTTGACATCATTTTGATATTTCAAAATGGAAACAAATAAAATATTCGAGGTAGGAGAAAATTGTATATGAACTTTTTGCAGGTAATAGCAGTACGTATAACTTTTATTTAAAGTATTTTATGAAATTTTGAGAAAAAAGAAATTTTTATTTTTCCGAGACTTCAGGATTTACGTAAACTATCGACGCTAGCGAAAAATGTTTCATACAAAAGTTGTAGTTCTAATTGTCAACTATAAGTAAGGTTGTAATTAAATTATTAATAACTCTGAAACGGTCAACTTTACGAAAAAATGACAATAGACCTCTTTTGTTTAAAATGACCCAAAAAACTTAAAAAAAATTCATTCGGGTAAAAAAAGCAATTTTAAAAAAAATTCATTGGAACTTTGTGTGAGATTTTCATCCGGCAAACTTTTGATCCTTGTTCCTCAAGGTGAATATGCAAAAAAGTCGAATGAGGAAATACTTGCGAGGTTTTCGCCTTTTCTATTATTAATTCACTCGATATGTATATATTTGAAATCTGCCAAATGATCGTGACTGAAGAGAGGAAACGCGTGGAATGAACAGGCGTCGTTTGTTTCGGATTGGAATGAAGAATGTAAAACACTCAGTAGATTTATGAGGCTAGGTAATGCTAGACGATGCGCGAAAACCGTTTAAACCGGACGCAGCGCTATGCCTCTAGTGATGTTGAATATCCTCCATTCGTATTTAACGGATTAAACGCGAATCAGGAATAAAGCTTACTGGATGCAGAGAGTATGAGGGGGGAAGAAGTATGGATTGGAAGCTGGCGTGCACGGTGATAACCCGACAGATTGGGACAATGTTCAACACATATAGTCGCAGTTGCGCGCAGCTTTATATTTATCAGAAAAACGATATACGTACTTGTGAGCTCGATGAACCGTGGAAAATCGTAATTAAGCCTTTTGTCCGAGTCTTGATTGTCGCTTTTTCAAATTCGTTAGATCTTTCATTCAGCGAACCCTCTGTACTATTAGCATTTCGTTATCGAGGAGAAATCCTCGTCGAGTAGAATTTTCTGTATTTAAACAAAGTTATTAAATAAATATTAACGATGTATAATGAAAACTTTTTAATTACATGTAGGTAATGGTTATTTTCGCTTGCCTTCTAGAGTCACAATAAAATATTGCGAATAAAGTAGTAATTTGAACGGGATTTAATTCAATGGGTAATTTTCGTAATGGTATATGCATACGTGTACATACACACTCGGGCTCTGGATCTTGGATCGATAATGAAAATCTCGCAATAAAGCTAACAATGTTTGCCCGCTCTCGAATGCTGACTCGACTTCGTTACTCAGCGGCAATTGTTTGAAAAAATCGCGCCGGACACGATAAATTTTTGCTCCCCTTTGTGTACTCGCCTTCCCCGTCCAGCCCGTGAGCCCAGTCGTCCGCGGTTTTCCTATCTTACGGTGTGCCTCCTATTGACGATGTTTTATCGTAATCTCCGGGTTTCTGGCGTGCGTTCTCGACGGCCGCGTGTCCCGGACTGCCCCGTCAAAGGGACAAAGAATCGCGTGCGGCTACGGGTTCAGAAGCGAATTAAATACCACGAAATGTCTCTTCCGCGAGCGGCTGATGGATCCGAGAGAAATACGCGGATGAAAGGGGAAGAAAGCAGGAAAAAGCGAGGCAGTGGAGAGGTTTGCAGTCTGCAGCTATTTTTTTCTGCTAATGGCGGACAGAGAGGCTCTCACGAGTGCGAGGCTAGAGGGTTAGAAAGCCGGTGGAGGACCGTGGGCTTAAATAACGCCGCGCGGGTGGACGGGGGAAGAAGGAAAAAAAATGGGGATATGTATCCCAGCGTAGCTGCCGGGGATAGTTCGACTTGCCTCGATGCTGTTGAATGATACCGGTCGAGAGTTTGACGACCGGTAATTTTTAATCAGTAAAGCCTCCTCCGGTGTCTATAGATACTCGTGCGTGTATGCATGTATGTATGTGTGTATGTTCGCGCATAGATTTCGATGTGAGGCTCGCCTCTCGCCACGCTATGCCGATTCCCTCGAAAAGGGGCGCTAGTCGATGATAAACTCGTGCTCCATGCATATCCGCTTTTCACCCGGGAATCCTGATTCATTCCTTTGCCGTTCGTCTCCTTGGAATCCCAGTCATTTCGTTATCGTGCGGATTATTTCGCTGAGAGCACAATTTGTGATCCAATATGCCCCGCTTTAGTAATTGCCCTAAACGATTCCGAGAGTTATCATAAGAATGGGACGACTTTTTCTATTTGTTCAATCATAAAAACAAAATGAAACATAGGGCAGATGTACTATTTATAGCCAATAACTTATTTGATCCATCTGTATCATATTTGGTGATATGGACCAACTTTTCACTTTTCCGAATGATGCGAATGAGTTAAGTATTCTATAGGCATGATTTAAATCCCTATAATCTCAAAATTAAATTACTATGGCGACTAAATCTCAATAAATTTTGTTTAACTTCCTTCTTTCCGCACTTTTAAAGGAATTTCATCTAAAGCACTGCTCCTCCTCATGTCTCAGGCTTTTTTGAAAATTCTTTCCTAACTTGCTACTAATAAGAAATCCAATATACACTGATATACTTATCAAGAAACATAATAAATTGCTAAATCATTTAGAGTATAAAGAGTGTTCGGAGGGACTCTATATCAAGTCAAATTGCAGGCATTAGCTTATTTAACATTAGAATTATCAGCGATTGTCGTATATCTATTTTTACCGGAGGAGTCAAAATGACTTGTTTCTCAAATAAATAAGTCATAACAAAAGACAGCAATTTTTACGTTTTAATCAGCGAAAATTTAATAATAAACTAATAATGATACTAACAATTTAATAACAATAATTTTCAAAACAATTACGCTTTTAACATTCCTTCCCTGGGAGTCAAAATAACTCATTTCGCTATATGGAGGTATACTGCATAAAATTTTACTTGGCCTAAGGACGTACGGAGAAAATCTTTCCTCATGAAATCGAAGCTATCACCATAATTGTATGCTTTATAATGTTTCTTTTACAGTTATATTTCACTAAAATCGTTGAAATCACCACAAATGGTACATCAACTTTGTTTCAAACGGTGGTTTGAAATTTTATGAACTTGCAAATAAAAGTTAATTGGCAATCGGGGCGACATAAATTCATTTGTGTTTTATTAAGAATACTACGAAGATATTACATCTGATTTTTAGTGAGATGTATACTCATTGGCGCGTTGATCATCGCGTTAACGGTCGAGCATCGATCCCGTGATCGACGACCTGTTAACGAAGTTGTTAACGGGCAGTGAATTGTGCGGTCGTCGGGTTCACTCGTATCTTTGCGCAGAATCAATTGAATTATTGTTATGGTCGCGGCATGCTCTATTACGCGATCGTCGAAACACCGTTACCGTTACGTAAAACAGATTACCGGTGGTCGTTACTCACGGGGGCGAGCAATTTTCCAAAAAACTGAATCGCAACAGTAACATTCGGAGAAATCGAATTTCAAAGTTTTTCAACGAAACCGTTTAGAAACTTAGCCAGGCGACGATCGATTAAATCGAACGGAAACGAATTCGCGTTAATTAAAAGCTTATTTGATTACTCAATAGCTGCGGCTGGCAAGTTGGGAATGACCAAATTAATTTCATGCTACGGGTCGGCCTTACGTTAAGGCGAGCTTAAAGCTTTGCGACTCCCGGGGCTCCCCAGTGCTACGAGCTAAATTCTCTCCTGTAATAGTTGTTAGGGTCTGGTGTTCCAGCCCGGTGTGGCCAGCTAAATAAATTTGTTATACACAATCGGTACGATGCGTGGGTAGTCAGTTATCCCGACTGGCAGACGGGTAATCCGTTCCGATAAGCGGTTTTTCGGATAATCTGTCCGGGGGGAATCAAAATTGCAAATACTGCGATTGCGGGAAGTGTTGCCGAATCACGCTGTCGCACTTACGTTGCGAATAATCACGCCAATCTCATTAGCAGTTTATTTGAATGTGTACGAAAAATTAATCAGAGAAACGAAATGGAAAATCGAATCGGAAGTGTAATTCAGCCAGTGATGCTGCGAGCCAACAATTTTTCAAGCTTCTATTTATTTCATGCAATTAATCAGAAAATTGAGTAAATCGAGTATTCGTCATTTAATGAAACGAACGATTGATTTATCTACTGAAACGTGTGAGTGTTATTGGGGAATATTATTTGCTTTAAAGCTGTAAAGCCACAGGCTTTTCTAAAGCTTTTGTAAAAAGAATGATTTTCTTCAACGCGTTTTCATTTATTGTATACGAGTCACGCGATATTGTCGAATTTCATTTTCGCGAGTTACCCCTTTCACTCGATTCCCGGAATTTCCAGGTTTATGGCTACGCGCTTTAAAGTAAACATTGTCACATTGGCTCGTGGCCCTTCCCATTCGTTAACCAGTTTTTCGTTTATCGTGCAATTGAGCTATCGTTCTGATCCGCACTGTCTTTCGCTTAATGGTAATTGTTAATTAAGTGTTTCTGATATTTCCTGTCTTATCACAACTGTAAGATTATATCTTCAATTAAGAATTTGTATATTATAATCTACGTGACGTATTATACAAACGTGTATTATAATTTAGTTTTAATGGAATACATAACCATTATTTTGCATAGATTTACCAATTATTATTTAATTAAAATTGAACATCGCCCTTTGTTTTATCTAGAATGGAGCGTAAAACAATTTGGTAATGGAGGCTCCTCGTTCAGTAATCGATGTTAAACTTGGGAACGCCGTCCTGTTTGCCGGAAGCATACGCGACGATTACAACCAAATCGAAATTAGCGCGTAAGTTCGGCAATTATTTTATTAATAAATTTGTCCAGCGGTAAGGAAACGGGAGTTTGTAGTGGATTATATGTTGCAACTACGAAACCAATCTAAAGTTTCGGATTTGTGTGCGTACCGGCAGATTGTTAAATTTACATAACGTTAAAGCCACTGGGGTACATAATTAAATTTACGTTACATTAAATGCAACAAGTAACATGTGCTTGATTCTTCGGCATCAGTTTAAACGCCACGTCAGGGAATATTTTTTAGAAATTTCGTAATTACAGTATGTTTATAAACGGGTTAAATTGGTGAATGTGTTTAATTAGAATCCTTTCATGCTTTCAGTTCTGGCAAATCTGTAAATAGGCGATTGGTTAAATATACTCGTACCAGTGTGTACACTAGTTTATTGAAAGAAATATTATATTTGTATCTAGTTCGATTTTATTGGATTTCTGTTCCACTGCACACTCTCGTGGTCACCATTTCATAATTCTTATATACTTACATTATTTGATGTCTACAGTTTTGGCAAATCTTTAAATAAGCGATTGTTTGAGTATATTTGTACTATTGTGTACACAAGTTTATTTAAAGAATATCATATTTGTATTTATTGTGGTTTGCACTGTCAAACTTGATTGCAATCTCTCGCGTATATAATTTCATGAGTTTTATAATTAAATGTTTTTATACAGTTTTAGCAAATTTTTAAATAAGCGATTATTTGTATTTATACTATTTTTTATTTATTTAAAATCATCTATGAAATATCATACTTCTATTTAATTTGATTTTATCGAATATCAAACTTGATTGCAATCTCTCATGTATATCATTTCATAATTTAATCAAGAACATTTATTTTGATTATTAAATGGAATTGAATTTCGCGATATCTGATAATATCATGAAGCTACATAAAATCTGTCGTGTGTTTGATCTCGGTAAAACGATTGTTCATTGTAAATGAGTCTTGGCCGAAGACGTATCCGTTTACGGTTTTTCCCGGGCTTCCAGCTGGTTGCCACGGTTGAATAATTTCGAAAACTCGAGAAACAGCGCAGCTAAATTCTCGACAAGTCTAGAACAGACGCGCGTTTCCGAGCGGGGCAAAAACTCCATCGGGAATGTAGTCGATTTGCGACACGAGGAGCCGTTGCCCACCTCCTCCCAACCCCTCCGCCCTTTCTTCGAAAGGAATTTTCTCCACGGTTCTTTC